CGCAGGTCACGAGGCTGGACATGAATGATTAATCCTGAAATTGACTTTGTTCTCCTCCTCATGAAAGCCTCTTGTTTCTGGAGATGATCTGCGCGGCTGATTGGAACAGATGTTACGGCTAAGTGATACATTTTGTCCGCTAAATCAACGCCAGGAGAGAAACTATGGAAAGCAAATTGAAAGCACTTAGAAGCAATAAGTGCGTGTCTGTCGAAACAACGGCGTGACCGGTGTTTAAAGGTGCACTGTGTAACTTTTCTGATGTTATTGCTTTGTCTGGAATGTTTCACAGTGTGGCATTAAACCGTTTTATCTTCATGGAGACCAAACCAGACCAAGTTACAAGTCAGATTTGTAGAGAGGCAGTCCAAATGCCAGTTTTTTTTTTAGCTATTTTGAGCTTACAAAACCACCTGTAATTGAATAAATGTAAAGGTAGAACAGAGTCCTGCACCGGGTCGGGTCCCCACGAGTACCCGTCGGGTACGGACAAATAGTTGCTGAAACGGGCGGGTTTAAACGTTCTTAACGAATTTTACGGGTGGATATGCAGACGGGTAGTGATTACACATGGGCGGGGCAGGACTAAATCAGGTCTAAACTAGGATTAAACCAAGTCTAAACCAGGATTACATCAGGACTAAACCAGGTCTACACCTGGATTAAACCAGGACTAAACCAGGACTACACCAGGACTAAACCAGGACTAAAACCAGGTTAAAACCAGGTCTAAACCAGGTCTAAACCAGGACTACACCAGGATTAAACCAGGTCTACACCTGGACTAAACCAGGTCTAACCCAGTTCTAAACCAGGTCTAAATCAGGTCTAAACCAGGACTACACCAGGATTAAACCAGGTCTAACCCAGTTCTAAACCAGGACTAAACCAGGACTAAACCAGGACTAACCAGGACTAAACCAGGACTAAACCAGGACTAAACCAGGTCTAAACCAGGTCTAAACCAGGACTACACCAGGATTAAACCAGGTCTACACCTGGACTAAACCAGGTCTAACCCAGTTCTAAACCAGGACTACACCAGGACTAAACCAGGACTAAACCAGGTCTAAACCAGGACTAAACAGGTCTAAACCAGGACTAAACCAGGACTAAACCAGGACTAAACCAGGTCTAAACCAGGACTAATGTTGGACTTAAGAGAAAGAGAACCCTAAGCCTGTGGAGCAGGGTGTCCACAAAGCGCGATTGGGCGACGACTGCCCTTACCTCAGTGGGGCATGGAGCTCTACGCCGATCCTTTCGCCTACAGTCACCCGACGGTCTACACCACCTCTGGTTCAGTTCTGGTTTAGTCCTGGCTTAGTCCTGGTTCAGTCCTGGAATCAGTCAGTCCTGCTTTATTCTTGGTTCAGTCCTCTGCAAGTGCGGCATCTCAACCAATGTTTTTTTCTGATCAATAAATAATGCCTGTGATGTGATGAAGTATTTTTAACAGTCGAGTCGCGTCCGTGAATTCATACTCGTAATGAAGAAAGCGTAACCATTTCATTTTATTTCTTGATTGTAATTCTTAAAGTCGTAACTTCGTAAATTCATATTCTGACGCGTGCTTCAGTTAGATTTGTGTGATTTATCATGAGCACGAGCGGGTAACAGGTCGAATGTTAACAGGTCCGGGCGGGTTCGGATCTCCAAAATTGGACCTGAGCAGGACTCTGAGGTAGAACTGTTTAATGTCATACTGTGGAACATTCCTGACAACGAGCGATGACATATCAATAGAAACAAGCAGGTTAACAAGTTCCATAGTGCACCTTTAAAGTAAGATCATTATATTTAAGATTTCACATTATATTTTACAATTTCTTTCACAGTTTGGCCATTTTTTAGCTTCCAAATTTTACTTCTTGGTTGGAAATTGCGACGTCTGAATCAGGAATTATTATTTGACAAATAAAAATATAAAACAACACCTTTATTTTGTTGAAATCATGTTTAAAGTATCTGAAAAAATCGTAAAATGTTTAAATCGTTTCAACTTGATTATATGAGTTTGGAGATCGTTTAATACACAAATTGAAACAGTGCAACATTTAGCCATGTTGTAATGCTGTTACCTCCTCAAAAACATACCCAGAGTTGTGTTTTGTTTCATTCACATGTCTGAGTATTCTTCTGTCTACATCTCCAAAGCTCAAAATGATCTGTTCCACCTTGTGATGTCATGAGATGGTAGTTTCCAAGTTAACAGTAGCAGAGATTGGCAATTCCAGGGCTGAAATTATCCAAATGATTCTACTGAAGGTGTATGGAGTTTAAAAACACAGTGGAGCACTTCCTGTATTACCACAAGGTTGAGTATTTTCTGTTTAAGAAAAGAAATCAGCCTAAATATGCAGGATTTGTGTTAAACATGTGAAACAAAACACAACTCCAGGTCTGTTTGTGACAAGGAAACAACATTATAACATAGATGAAATTAAAAATATGTTACAATTTCTTTGAAAGTTTTAGCTTCCAAATTTCACTTACTGGTTGAAAATCATGACATCAGAACCAGAAATTAATATTTGACAAATACAAATATAAAACAACGCCTTTATTTTATTGAAATCATGTTTAAAGTATCAGAAAAATGTGTTTTGTTGTGTGTAAATTGTGTAAAACTTTCGGTTATAATTCTCCCAATTCTCTCTGAAATAGAACCCACTACTTCCTATAATTTTTAACTTTTTGAACTGTTTCTCACAAATTGCTTCTTGATTGATGTAAAACTATAATTTATATTTCCGACAGCTTTTATCCCGGCAAAAATACGCACTTTTTAAACTTCAAAGATTTTAAAATGGCTAATCCGAACTCATCTTCCGACATGATCAAGCTCCAAATATTATCAAAGATACTCATTTATTTAAAAGGAAATAGATAATACAAATGAAACAAAATCATTTCGTCACATAAACAATTTCATGAGTCATTAACAACCAAAGGGATGTCGCAGCGTCGCCACGGAAACTCATTTTCCCTCTTCCTGGCGCCCATCACTCTTACGAGTCTGATGACATGAAAAGCTCTGACGCGGGCGCTTCCAAAAAGTGCTTTCCGTGAAATAAATACTGTACAGTGCAATGCCGAGTAAACAATTAATTACATTTCTCATTCATTGGTAAACATTTTCATATCAAAGAGTTACTGTTCAAATTTTCATCATTACAGTACATATATAGATTCACAAGGACCCAAGGCAAACTCCAGCTCCAAGTCTTTGTCGCGCTCAAAGGTGCATCGTGTAACTTTTCTGGCAGAGGGTCCGTCAAACGCTTTTCTCCATTGATTTGCCTGAAATATCTCACAGTTTGGCCTTAACCTTCTAGAACTCGTGCATGGCTTTATTGATTTTTCTTGACCTGATTGAAGTGCAAAAGCAAAGAATTATATTTTTACATGATGTAGTTTTGTAGAGAAAAATGATTGAACAATTCTGTGTCGTAAGCCTTCCCGATCCACACAGCTTTGCGCACATTTGTTTACGTTTTACGGTAACGAAACTTAAAACCACATGGCTAATTTGCAGTAACTAAGCGCTCAGAAAACAGCTCGCTCCTTGTGCCCTGATGCGGTTCAGCTTCTGTCAGATTAAAAAGGACACGACTCAGTGGATTATGAGTGTTCTTTCTGTGACACAGAGGGGTGTTCTGCTGATGGTGAGTCTGTTCTGTGCAAGTAGTTCTAGATACGCTGATTCGTGCCCACACAGTGCAGGATCAGATCTGTACTCAGATGAATTCGTGGGAGCTGGTGGCACCAGATCGTTCTGTCTCTGGAGCCGTTTTCAATCGGATCAGTGTGGACGAACACTGCATCCACAGTGAAAACAACTGGAATATGTATTAGTGTAGATGGGGCTCAAGTTACTGGTCAGATTTGTGGAAAGGTGACCCCACTCACAGTCAGGATGCCTGTTTTTATAGGTATTTTTGAGCTCTAAAAAAACATCCTGTAATTGAAAAAAGGTAAGGTAAATCTATTTAATGTCATACTGTGGAACATTCCAGGCAGACCAATGACATTTACATAGAAACAAGCAGGTAGTCCAATAAGGTTAATTTGGACTTCTGATAATTTATGTTATAAAATTATTTTTTCAGACCAAGAGTTTGTTTTCATGCCTGACAGTTTCGACTGCTCACTCACGGTCTTCCTCAGATTCACGTGAAGTTGCTGATGTGATATTTAAACAGGTTTTGGCGCTGTCTTCCTACTGGTGGAGGCTGAACGACAGCGCCATCTGCAGTCTGACTTCCTCAGGACAGTATCTCAGGTGTGTGAAGCCGTGTTCAGACCAAACGTGTCTGGGGTGAATAAATCACATCAAACGCCCCTAGTTTGACGCTTGACTTTTTTGAGTCATTCGCTTCATTTGCCCACCAAGGACTCTCGACTTTGGGAATTTGGTTGCGCGAGTAAATCCGCTCTATTCACTGTGTTCACTCCTGAAGGATCAACTGCGGCTGCGCTGTGTCCCCTGCATCTGCTGTTTTCATTTTGAAAAATTGCAGACTTGGACTACATCGAGCGGGCTGACCAGATCGAAACCAGACCGGGACCAGACTGGGACCAGGACCAAGACTGGGACGAGACCGGGACTGAGACTAGTTAAGTCCTGGTTTAGACATGGTTTGTACTGGTTTAGACCTAGTTTAATCCTGGTTCAGTTCTGGTTTAGACCTGGTTTAGACTTGGTTTCGTCCTGGTTCGTCCTGCCACTGTCGGTAGGAAGACAAAGCGCCAAGATCTGTATAAATCAACTGACCCGACACGTCACAGCAACATCACGTGACCACTCTGAGGAAGACCGCAGGGAGCAGTCGAAACTGTGAGGTATAAAAACAAACTCTTGGTCTAAGAAAAGAACCAAATACCAGACACAAGCAGGTGACGGACTCGTGACCATAAAGTTACACCGTGCACCTTTAAAGATCTCCGTTTGGAGCAGCACTGCAGCTCCCTCCGGTCTGGCCTTCGCAGCCGCAGACTTATCCGCTCTTCTCACAGTTGAGCTGGCCCCTGCTCTCCTTGGCCCTCTCTCTCTGGCCCTCTGCAGTCCTCGAGTCCCCCCCTCTCAAATCGCTCACCACGGCTTTGAGCGTTTTGAACCTGTCCGCGCGTCCGCTCTGCTGCCTCACCTCCGACGCCTGACCGCCGCTTAAGGAGCTGAGGGAGCGCCCGGCAGCCAGACCCCGCTCTTTGGCTTTGGGGCGTCGCGGCGTGGTCATGGTACCCAGCTCCCCGGGGTGATCCATGTCCCTGATCACTTCGCACAGGTAGCGAGCCAAATCCTGACTGGAGAAGGAGAGGGTTTTTTGGGAGCGTCGGAAAGTCAGCGGGGAAGGTAAGGTCTCTGACTCCGAGGACGGTATGGCGAGACGCAAGGCGATGGCAGCGTTCCCGGTTCCGTTGGGTAAGGTTTTTTTGTTGTCCAGGGACTGCTTGGAGTTGGGGTAGGAGATGATGCTTTGCGGGTAGCTGTAGCGGAGAGACTGAGCCGGGCTGGCCTGGAGGGAACGCTGAAGCTCCACCATGTTGAAAGCGTTCTGAGGGAAGAGGAAAAAAAGCAAAGGTGCTATATTAGAGAAAACCGACTCTTTAAGTGAGCTTTAAAGTTGCACTGCGTAACTTTTTAGGTTGGAGGGCCATGGACGTTAAACTAAAGATGCGTTTATTCAATTATGGATGTTTTTTATTATTTAATTTTCGGACTGCTTGTGGGGTATTCTCTTCACATATTGTCTTTGTCTCTATGGAGATTGATAAGTTTAATGCCATATTTTGGAACATTAAGGGCAAAGCAATAACGTCTCCATGGAAACAGGCAATTGACTGGCCCTCTACCAGAAAAGTTACACAGTGCTGGCGCTGCTCGATTATGGAAAAAAGCAAACAAACAAACAAAAAAAAAAACATTATCATGATTATTTTGGTCAATATTGAAATCACAATTATTCAGACTTTCAGATTTTTTTGTTACACGATGCATTTATTCAGCATTTCTCTCTCAAAACACACTTTATTATTGATAATTTACACAAAACTTCCAAATTGAAAATAAGTTCAGGCTACAGTTATATACGATAGAGCATTTTGTGAGGTATAAAACATAAAATGAACATGAAATAAAGCATAGAAAAACATAAATGTATCCAAAATAAACTATATAACCAGCTGTTCTACAATCTCTATATTTTAAAAAATTAAAATAAATATACTTATTTATATTTAAAAAAAAATATTCCAAAATAAACTTGTTAAGCTTTCAATCATTTCAACTCTCTTATATAAGTTGGGAGATCATTTATCACACAAATTGAAATCGCAATCAGAATTCGATTACCGTATTTTTTGGACAATAAGTTGCACTTTTTTTCATGGTTTGGGTGTTTCCTGCAACTTATACTGTGGTGCGACTAATATATATTAAAATGTTTTTTTTTATATATATAAAACCAAGAAAATGAAAAAAAAACAACTAATTTCTTCATTAATTGTCTCCCAAAACCAGAATGAAAAAATGGATAACGATTTTGTTTTGTTTTTCAGATTTTTCAACGGGCCATTTCCCGGTTACATGACTTAAACTGCGATGCCGGACTGAACCAAGACTGAACCAGAACTAAACCAGGACTAAAACAGGTCTAAACCAGGTCTAAACTAGGACTAAACCTAGTCTAAGTCTCGGTCTCAGTCCCGGTCTCAGTCCTAATCCAGGACTGAACCAGGAGTGTCGGGATGGGCCTGGACTGTTGGGTGATCAGGAAACTGGGACCAGGCTGGGACCAGACCAGGACTGAGACCGAGACTTAGACTAGGTTTAGTCCTAGTTTAGAGCTGGTTTAGACCTGTTCAGTCCTGTTTTAGTCTGGTTTTAATCCTGGTTCAGTTCGTATACGGTGCAAAAGTCCGGCGTTTCAGTCACGAAAATGGGAAACGGTCATTATCAGTTTTTTCCATTATTCATTTAAACACAAAATTGAAAAATGAAAAAACAAATCCTTATCCGTTTATCCAACAAATAATGAAGAAAATAGTAGTTTTTTCATTTTCTTCTTTTTGGTTTTATATTGAAAAACGAATGAACGAAAAACAGACTCACTTCAGTATTTTCAGTATTTTCTGTTTACGAGAAGAACTCCGCCTAAATATGCAGGATTTGAGTTTTAAACACGTGTGAATGAAACAAAACACAACTCCAGGTCTGTTTTTGTGACGAGGAAACAACATTATAACGTAGATCACTTAAAAAATACCCAGCCTCCATTCATTTCAGTCGTACTCGTTAAAAATTCATAACACAATTGCAGCGAAACAGCCTGTACGTTACACTGGACCTGTTAGAAGTCTAGATCCATGTTAGAGGAAGCATGTTGGCAACAGCACCACTATTGATTATTCTAGTAATTAATTATCTGATTGCAAAGCTGGGAAAACGCTATTACCAGCACGATTACAACAGAGGCATTAGCAGCTATCGGAGTGAACTTGTTAAATTTCCACTAATTAACACACATCTTGGCGTCTCCTGAGATAGAATACTCAGGTTCCGGTCGGTATGCACCTGACTTCAGTCGTTTTGTAATAAATTTATCACAAGGAAAAGCCCCATAAAGAATTAAAGGTGATCCATGACGCAAAATTGACTCTTGAGAGCTTTAAGTCGTGTTAGAACAGGGATGGGCAAACTACGGCCCGGGGGCCAAATGCAGCCCTTTAAACCTTTTAATCCGGCCCGCCAAACTTGAATAAATAATAATAATAAACCTTGTTAATGTTTTATTTTTACTGCATTTCCGGCGTTTCCTAGTAGACGGCGCACTATATATACATTGAGGTGCGGCGGCTTCTGTTGGCCGCAATGCTTTATGGGAAAGTCATTTTCAGGCGGTGTATTCGGACCAAGAATGAGGTAGAAGTGTTCAAGACATAAGACTGCACTAATTCTGAACAAAGTGTGTGTAAATTGAATCTCAGTGCTATTCTACATCCTCTTATAAAACATGATATATAGAGCAAGAGCACTGCAACTGTTACGTGTGACAGTATCTTATGTATAGTATTTAGCCTCTTGATGTGTGGTATAGTCTAAAAGATGGAAATCCCTGTGACATATGCTAATGGAAGAGCCGTATGAGCCAGCGCGAAATCCCCAGGTTCCGAAATGGCCGCCCGTTCAAATTGATGTGCAGAGCTCAATGGCGCATGATCCCAGATTAGCCTAGCAATGCTAGGTACTTCCGGTGGCTGTTGGCCGACCGAGCATGCGGAGTAGTGCTCTTTTCTCCCACGGGCACACGCGAATGCACTGTTTCCGCTTTAAATCTGTGTGAAACAAGGTCATATATTTTATACTCAATGTATTAGAAAGTCTTAAAGTATTGGTTAGACTCTGGATTAGCATGGGATCTGTGTCGTCTACGCCCTCGGTCAAAGTGCTCGGGATACATGTTTGCTTTTGCTGCGCAGTGGGGCAGACCTCATTTCACTTTTCATGTTTAAAGTTGCAGCGCGTAGTGCAGAATACGTCCTACATGAGAGTAAATACGAGTGCAATGGAGGCGGGCTCTGAACACGTCATGTCCCGTCTTCTGTTCGGCCCTCCAGTCAAATTTTAGAACCCTATGTGGCCCCCGAGCCAAAAAGTTTGCCCACCCCTGTGTTAGAACGTAGTTACCTCGTCCAAAACAGAGCTGGAGTTGTGTTCTGTTTCCAGTGTTGGGAAGGTGACTTTTAAAATGTATTCCCCTACAGATTACAGATTACATCCCCCAAAATGTAGTTTGTAACATAATCCATTAAATTACTGAAGGTAAGTAATGTAATCTGAATACTTTGGATTACTTGGTTTACTGTAGAGAAGCAAAGATTAGGATATCGCAAAATAAGATGTTTTGTCTATTAAAAGAAAATGAAAAGCTCAGACTTTACTTAAAGTATTAAAAATATTATTGATAGAAGAGGAGGAGACACGTCCACGCAGCATGATTTAGTCCTGTTAAATCCTGTTTTAGTCCTGGTTTGGACCTGGATTTAAACCTGTTTTAAACCTGTTTTAGATCTAGTTTAGACCTGGTTTTAGTCCTTTTTAGTCCTGGTTTAGACCTGTTTTAGACCTGGTTTAGATCTAGTTTAGCTCTAGTTCAGATCTGGTTTTAGTCCTGTTTAGTCCTGGTTTAGATCTAGTTTAGACCTGGTTTTAGACCTGGTTTAGTCCTGGTTTTAGTCCTGTTTCTGGTCCTGGTTTAGTCCTGGTTTTAGTCCTGGTTTAGACCTGGTTTTAGACCTGTTTTAGACCTGGTTTAGATCTAGTTTAGACCTGTTTTAGTTTTAGTCCGGGTTTAGTCCTGGTTTAGTCCTGGTTTTAGTCCTGGTTTAGTCCTGGTTTTAGTCCTGGTTTAATCCTGGTTTAGACCTGGTTTAGTTTTCGGCAATGAGTGAAATTACCAAAAGAAAAAAAAAAAAAAAAAGTGAAAATACTGCTCTGTAATCCATTTATTTCAACAAAGTAACTGTAATCCGATTCCCACTCACTGAAACAGTAACTGTAACTGAATACAGTTACTCATAATTTGTACTCTGATTACATAACTCCGGTACATGTAATCTGTTACTCCCCAACACTGTTTGTTTCACACATGTCTGAGTAACGTTTATTATTATTCTGCCTGCATCTCCAAAGCTCAAAATGTTCTGTTCCACATTGTGATGTCATGAAGAAGGAGTTTTCAAGTTAAGAGTCTTTTGCACAATTAAGAGCTGAAATTATCCAAATGATTCTAGTGAAGGTGTGTGGAGGTTCATCTGGTCTTCGGATAATTTATGTTATTAGGTTCTTTTTTCAGACCAAGAGTTTGTTTTCATACCTGACGGTCTTCCTCAGAGTCACGTGATGTTGTTGTGACGTGTCCGGTTGGTTGATTTAAACAGGTTTTAGCGCTGTTTTCCTACTGGTGGAGGCAGGACGACAGCGCCATCTGCAGTCCGACTTCCACAGGACAGTATCCCAGGTGTGAGAGAGTAAAAAAAAAAACGCGGGACTATAAACCAAGACGAGGGGGCTTTTTTTACTTTTTCACAGTGCCAAAACCTGTATAAATCAGCTGAGCGACACGTCACAGCAACATCACGTGACTCTGAGGAAGATCGCAGGGAGCAGTCGAAACTGTCAGGTATGAAAACAAACTCTTGGTCTGAAAGAAGAACCTAATCACATTTGCAGAATTTGTGTGTTAAAGGGCCCACATTATGATATTTTCTGATATGTTATAGTTTTTTCCTCACCACAAACAGACCTGGAGTTGTGTTTTATTTCAACGCACAAATCCTGTAAGGTTCTTACTTCTACTTCTTTCTCTCTGTTCCACCTTGTGATGTCATGTAGTAATACAGGAAGTGCTCCACTGTGTTGTTAAACTCCACACACCTTCACTAAAATCACTTGGATGATTTCAGCCTTGGAATGAACAATTATTACTGAAATAACAACAACAGCAACAACAACAATTGAGACCTTTCACTGAGACACAAAGACCACACAACTGCA